CAAAATGGCCGACTTCCTGTTGAGTTTAGGGTATGGGTTCTTGAGGCTTTTTTTGTGTGTTATGATACATATCCCCAGAAAATTTCATGCATGTAGGTTGAACGTGAACGAGGGGCTAATTTTTTCCAATTTTCTAGGTGGCGCTAGAGAGTTATTTTGCCATGCCCACGCGCGAAACCCATAAAATACGAAATTCTTCACCAGTTCTGACATGTGTGCAAAGTTTGGTGAGTTTTCAAGTATGTTTAGGCCCCCAAAATGGAGCTTACTTTGCAGAAGAAAAAAAAAAAAAAAAAAAAAAAAAAAATCTTTACAAATTCAATAGGGACCTCGCACGGTCGTGCTCGGGCCCTAATAAAAACTGCGTTAACGCGCGATAAAATAAAATAATTTTGTGATAATTATTATTGTTTTATTGCCCAGCCCTAATTTGAACTAGCCTCGACTGTAGTTGATGCTGCAGGTAGTAATGCCATAATAATAACAACAATATAGTGACAAAGATATGCATCTGTTTATTCCTCATTCATTCTTTCATGTCAAAGCTCCTCGCTGAACTGTTGACAAACCAGTGAATGTCAAGTTTAGGTAGACGCAGCCCACATAGATGGGTCCTTGAGTCCAACAAATAGCCTAGCTCCTGCATGTAGTGAGAGAGCCTCACTGAGAGCTGTAGCTGCTTTGATTCAGGAAGTTCCAGCTCTTATCATACAGTTCACACTTTAGGCTAAATAGAGACAAGAGATAATAGAGAAATAATTAACTAAATATCCACCTGGTCTGACCTTTGCTGCTAAATCTGTAAATGGTAAATGGAGCCTTGTGGAAAGTAACCTAATTAACGTAGTGTGTTTCCTGAAATGAATCCTAACGATGAAGTCTAGGTCATAACCATAGACTGTATATAAAAAGGTCATAACCTATTGACTGATATCTGAGAAATGATTAGGCTTTCTACTACTGACTGTTGGTGACAGACAGAATACACCTTCAGGTGTTTTGTGACCTCTGAAATTAGGTAAATGTGGACCTGCAGCTCATGGGTTCACACAAACTTTATGTTGAAAAACAGTCTTTGTTGCTCTTCAGAGGAAGTCATTAGTAGCAGTTTGGTGCCATCTGTGGAGGGCAGAAGTGTAATCTGTGCAGGTGACATTAGCAGTCAGTTAACAGTCTGGCATCTCCATTTGGGAATCTGTCTAGCTCCTGCTGCTCCACAGAGGCCCTTTTAACACGTTGCAGTAGGAAAAGCACAGGTGTAAATAATTAAATGAATGATGGCTGAATTCCATTTAACTGCTTCTGTTTCAGGCATCTTCCATCGGCGATGGCTGACAGATGGTCGATGGTTGAGCTGGCATCGTGATTGTCCATCCCGATGTTTCAATGTAGACATCGTCCGATGGAAATTTTGTAGACATTGCCCAACCCTTATTAGTAACACCTGTGTTTTTACTACTGTGACAAGTAAACATGTCTGCAGTGAAGAACTACTGTAGAGGTTTTCATTAGGAGTTTGTTCTGTCAGTCAACTTATCAATTTATTTGCTTAAAATCTGATATATATATTCATTTTAGCCATGAAAAATGTTACTGGGTAATTGTAATGTATGGATAAAGTTACTACTTGTGCTGAAACAATGAGTACAGTAATTGGTCCAACAGAAAATTAATCAAGAAACAATTTTGACCATTGATTACTAATTAAATCATTCGTCAAACACAAATGCCAAACATTTTCTTGCACAAGCTTCTCAGATGTGAGTATTTGTGAGAAAACTGAATAACTTGGAGTTGTCAGACAAAAGAAGCATCCTGTAAATCTTTCACAATGTCTTGATGATGAAAATAATTAGTTGCAGCCCTAGTTAAAGGTGCCCTGTGAATGTTTTCTTTTATACAAAGAAAAGTTATGTTCACAATCAGTTTAACTCTGTAAAACTCACCGTGTGTATCCTTCAGGCCTTGCACTCTTTCTGGTATCTACCTGTTAAAGAAAAATGCAGGAACAAAATGTTCCCCATTTACACGTGTCTGTTGATAAATCCAGATAAGGTTTAAGAACACTTAACACTATATTGCTAGTTTTGGGACGCCTGCCTTTACATGCACATGAAGGTTAATGACATCCCATTCTTAATCTTAGGGTTTAATATGGAGTTGGCCACCCTTTGCAGCTATGACAGCTTCAAGTCTTCTGGGAAGGCTGTCCACAAGGTTTAGGAGTGTGTTCACAGGAGTTTTTGACCATTCTTTTAAAAGCGCATTTGTGAGGTCAGACACAGATGCTGGACGAGAAGGTCTGCCTCGCAGTCTCCGCTCTACAGGTGCCGGTCATATAATTAGAATATTATCAAAAAGTTGATTTATTTCAGTAATTCCATTCAAAAAATGAAACTTGTATAATTTATACATTCATTCCACACAGACTGATATATTTCAAGTGTTCATTCCTTTTAATTTTGATGATTATAACTGACAACTAATGAAAACCCCAAAATCAGTATCTCAGAAAATTAGAGTATTGTGAAAAGGTTCAATATTGAAGACACCTGGTGCCACATTCTAATCAGCTAATTAACTCAGAACACCTGTAAAGGCCTTTAAATGGTCTCTCAGTCTAGTTCTGTAGGCTACACAATCATGGGGAAGACTGCTGACTTGACAGCTGTCCAAAAGGCGACCATTGACACCTTGCACAAGGAGGGCAAGACACAAAAGGTCATTGCTAAAGAGGCTGGCTGTTCACAGAGCTCTGTGTCCAAGCACATTAATAGAGAGGCGAAGGGAAGGAAAAGATGTGGTAGAAAAAAGTGTACAAGCAATAGGGATAACCGCACCCTGGAGAGGATTGTGAAACAAAACCCATTCAAAAATGTGGGGGAGATTCACAAAGATTGGACTGTAGCTGGAGTCAGTGCTTCAAGAACCACCACGCACAGACGGCCACAGCAATACGTGGGTTTCAGCTGTCGCAGTCCTTGTGTCAAGCCACTCTTGAACAAGACACAGCGTCAGAAGCGTCTCGCCTGGGCTAAAGACAAAAAGGACTGGACTGCTGCTGAGTGGTCCAAAGTTATGTTCTCTGATGAAAGTAAATTTTGCATTTCCTTTGGAAATCAAGGTCCCAGAGTCTGGAGAAAGAGAGGAGAGGCACAGAATCCACGTTGCTTGAAGTCCAGTGTAAAGTTTCCACTGTCAGTGATGGTTCGGGGTGCCATGTCATCTGCTGGTGTTGGTCCACTGTGTTTTTTGAGGTCCAAGGTCAACGCAGCCGTCTACCAGGAAGTTTTAGAGCACTTCATTCTTCCTGCTGCTGACCAACTTTATCGAGATGCAGATTTCATTTTCCAACAGGACTTGGCACCTGCACACAGTGCCAAAGCTACCAGTACCTGGTTTAAGGACCATGGTATCCCTGTTCTTAATTGGCCAGCAAACTCGCCTGACCTTAACCCTATAGAAAATCTATGGGGTATTGTGAAGAGGAAGATGCGATACGCCAGACCCAACAATGCAGAAGAGCTGAAGTCCACTATCAGAGCAACCTGGGCTCTCATAACACCTGAGCAGTGCCACAGACTGATCGACTCCATGCCACGCCGCATTGCTGCAGTAATTCAGGCAAAAGGGGCCCCAACTAAGTATTGAGTGCTGAACATGTTCATACTTTTCATGTTCATACTTTTCATTTGGCCAACATTTCTAAAAATCCTTTTTTTTTGTATTGGTCTAAGTAATATTCTAATTTTCGGAGACACTGAATTTGGGATTTTCATTAGTTGTCAGTCTTAATCATCACAATTAAATGAAATAAACATTTGAAATATATTGGTCTGTGTGTAATGAAGTTTCACTTTTTGAATGGAATTACTGAAATAAATCAACTTTTTGATGATAATCTAATTATATGACCAGCACCTGTAATTAATCCCAAAGGTGTTCTAGTGTGCAGTCATGTTGGAATAGGAAGGGGCCATCCCCAAACTGTTTCCGCAAAGTTGGGAGCATGAAATTGTACAAAATGTCTTGGTGTGCTGAAGCATAAAAAAGTTCCTTTCACTGTAACTAAGGGGCCAAGCCCAACCCCTAAAAAACAGCCCCACACCATAATCACCACCTCCACCGAAATTTATACTTGGCACAATGCAGTCAGCAGGGCTCTACGCTAACCTTTTTCCCAAGGAGCACATGTGCTCCTAAATTAAAAAATTTAGGACGCGGGGGGTGGGGATTATTGTAGGTTGTAGTTACTCGCACATTGTGCTCGTAAATAATTTTTCCGGTTCGCACGTATCGATTTTTAGGGGCATATACGAGCAAAATGGTCGCACTGTAGAGCCCTGGTCAGGCAAGTACCGTTCTCCTGGCAACCACCAAACCCAGACCCGTCCCATTGGATTGCCAGACAGAGAAGCGTGATTTGTCGCTCCAGAGAAAACGTCTTCACCGCTCTAGTGTCCTGTGGCGGCGTGCTTTACATCACTGCATCTGACGCTTTGCATTGCTCTTGGTGATTTAAGGCTTGGATGCAGCTGCTCGGCCATGGAAACCCATTCCATGAAGCTCTCTACGCACTGTTCTTGAGCTAATCCGAAGGCCACACGACTTTTGGATGTCTGGAGCTACTGACTGCAGAAAGTGGGCGACTTCTGCGCACTGTGTGCCTCAGCATGCACTGATCCCGCTTTCTGATTTTATGTGGCCTACCAATTCATGGCTTCCATTTTGTTATAATACCACTATACCACGCAACCTATCACAGTACCACGTTTGAATTCACTGAGCTCCTGAGAGTGACCCATTCTTCCATAAATGTTTGTAGAAGCAGTCTGCATGCCTAGGTGCTTGATTTTATACACGTGTGGCCATGAAAGTGATTGGAACATCTGAATTCAATGATTCGGAGGGGCGTCCTAAAACCTTTGGCAATATAGTGTACATGCTTCTCTGTTGGCCAGATCACAAATATGATGTTAGCTCCCTCTCTCCTCTGTCAGGTGAGTGCACTATTCCAGCGGAAGGTCCAGAATAAGATCAAAGATCTCCTCCAGCAGATGGAGGAGGGCCTGAAGACTGCCGACCCCCATGACTTCTCCACTTACACCGGCTGGACAGGTCTGTCTCCAGCGCTAGTAAACTGTAAAGACTTGCCAGTTCCATGTGTCAGGTTTAGCCTGTGACTCCCCAATGTACTATTTTTACTGCAGGTATTGCCTTGCTGTACCTCCAGCTGCACCGGGTGACCCATGACGCCTCCCACCTGCAGAGGGCATTGGACTATGTGAAGAGGACCATGAGGATCCTGAATGGCCGCAAAGTGACATTCCTCTGTGGTGACGCGGGGCCGTTGGCAGTAGGTGCGGTGGTCCACCACAAACTGAACAACACTGCTGACAGCCAAGACTGTGTGTCCAGGTAAGTGGCTGGGACTGTGGATGTTGGTATGGATTCTTCAGCATGAAAGGTAACTTTCAGGTGCCTTAACAGTCTTTCAGACACAACACGACAATAGCAGAAACCCATTATCTCAATTTATCTCCAAGGTAATAAGAAAAAGCATAGTTCTGATGGCTTTTCACTGATTGAAGCAAAGTGGTCAATGCAGCACAATGCGCCACTCGGCGAGCTTGTACTTTGAACTTTGGATGAAGGCAGCTCAAAACCTGTAGTATCTGAAAGGGCCTTAAAGTGGTGGTTGACGGTATCTAGCTACTGAGTGGCCAGCCCACCCATCCTTTAGATTTTTCTTTCAGGTGAGTAAAAGTCACAAAGCACTTGACATCTCATTAGTATAGTGTAGCCTTACTACATGTCTTTTATAAATAGAAATTTATATGAAAGTGTGTGCTAGATCAGTGGTTCTCAAAGTGGGTCAGGGGTCCTTGATGGGGTTCTAGGGGTCCCCAGCAAAAAGGGGAATAATTTATTTTTGTTAATTCCATCCATGAGTAACACAATGTGAATATGACAACTTGGGTCATGAGGTTCATCCACTTTCTGTAATAAAAAATCTAAAAGCTGAAATCCTATTAGATGGGGAACACTGGGACAAAATCTTATCAAATGGTCCATGGTCTAATTTGTGTCAGTTTAGGGGTCCCTGATGTGAAAAAGTTTGAGAACCACTGTGCTAGATAATATACATAGAAGAAATAAAATTATAAATTCCAAAACACTTCACTTGACGGGAGGAGGTGCCCAAGTGAAGTCTCTGTCGGAAACACAGTTATGATCTTTTGAACCGTATTACTGTCTTTAATGGTGACCTCAACCCTATCCATGAATTCATCCATCTAAAAACAAGTACCTTAAATTAAGTAACCTTAATTGCCATTAAAATGTCTTAAATCAATCTTTTAAAAGTGGGAAATAGGATTTTAAGGATCGTAAAAACTCGTGTAAAAGGTCAAAATGATTGGTAAAAAATTTTTTTTTAAAATCATTTACGGAATGCCTGTTAAATTAACGTTATGCAAATCAGGATACCAGGACCAACTACACTCACATTTTGTTTGCTCAGAGCAGACGCTCCCAGTCTGCCAACAAACTCCAGGTGTAACTAAGTGATGTTGGTTCATGTTTTTTTTCTCTAGATGTGGTTATTGTGAAATTGGTCTTTAGGGACTCTGCCTATCAGTGTTGCTTGAACTAACACCAGAGCCTGTGTGTCTGTCAGGCTGCTCCAGCTGCAGCGGTCGGTGCTGACTCCTGACTCTGAGATGCCGGATGAGCTGCTGTATGGCCGAGCCGGCTACCTTTATGCTCTGCTCTACATTAACAAAGAGATACGAGCTGACACGGTGGATGAGAGCACCATTACAAAGGTGACACACACACACACACACACACACACACACACACACACACACACACACACACACACACACACACACACACACACGCATTTTTTTTTCAAATGTATCACTTATTTGCTCAGTGCAAACGCACATTTACAAGTCTGATTAAGCACACAGATTCTGAATACGCATTTGCAGATTCCTGCTCACATTCACAAATCTCAGTACACATTTAGAGATTTTTTCACACATTGACAAATCTGATCACACAGACACAGATTGAGATACAGTTACACACACATCGTTCAATAATGGCACCATAACAGGCTGTGGTGTATTGAAAGTAACCCAAGCTTATTTTAATAGCTGTAGGCAGCTATTGTTAACCATTATGCTGGGGGTTGATTGTAGTGACCAGACATGTGCCCCCATATACCAACATTGAGTTTATTTTGGAAACCAATTTTTATTTAGTTTTATGTATGTATGAATGGATGTTAGTTAAACAGTACATAAACGTGCCCTGAGAGCCTCTCTTATGATTTGTTAATTGAACTGAATAGTTTGTCACATTTGAGTTATTTGATTGTTGCAACAAAAAGTCAAGACTGTTAATTTTATAATAATAATAGACAAACTATGTAATGGAGCCTCTAAATTTCCTCAGACATCTCTAATTTGATATTTTGTGTGGGCAGTTTTTTTTTTAATGGCACCAAAATGATTTTTCTAGTTCTCAGTGTTTTAAAGTTACACCTTGTCAGATCCTTTCCAATCTGATAAATAATGTTGAGGATACTTTATATAATATATTGGCCTGGCGGCTCTAATGTTCATACATGCATAGAATGTGTGTCACCTTTGCCTCTGCCCTCTTTCTACAGCAGAGCAGGTGAAACTGTGCTTGGAAAGAATCTTCAGATGATAGACACATTATTTATGTATATGGCTGCTGTAATAGCCATCTGTTAGACATCGAGCTGTGGTAAAAGTGGACACGCACACACTCATTGCAGAAACTGCGGGACCAGCTGTCCCCTTTGGTAAAGTGCCTGGCTAAAACCAATGCACTGTACACACACTAAGACACTGTGACAGAAGGGCTGAGAGAGTAGGCAGCAGCAGTGGGCTCACAGACGCAGACGTGTTGGATAGATGTATTATTATAACTAATGAAGGAATAAACATGTGAATCTTTAAAGCTCCAGTTTACTGCAGCACTACACTGCTCTTCATCTCACCATCATTTGTACTCGTATACCCGTCACCACCACACTGCCCAGAAATACTGCTCGCTTTACCAAACCGTGACTCTGCTTCAGGGAGCAGTTTAGAGTGGGGCTGAACGATATATCATTTCAGCATCAGCATGGCAATGTGCACATGTTCAGTAGTGACATTGCAGGACACACAATGTCAAGCAAATGAACTCCAACATGTCAAGCTGCAACTTTTTTGCTGCTTGATACCAAACGAAATCTCACCCTTTCACCAGAGCACATAGCGAACTGATGGCTGTGTATCCCCTGCCTGTAAACATGCACGCCACGCGGCTATGGTCACACTGTTACCTTGATGCTAGAGGCGTTCAGTTACGCCAAGCAGCTTTTGAGTGTGTGTATGTTATCAGCTGCACCTTGCCCCGTGCTGGTAAAAAGTTACAACGTTACTGTCACGGGGCTGCTCCCTGCCCCATGTGAGACACGCTTCCTACACACAACACACACAAAACTTGCAGTATCCAGATCTCTCTGTACTTACAGGCGAGAGGCCTGTTTATCTGCCACCACACAGCTTAAGCAGACATTTGGGCAATGTTAGAAATAGCAGATTACATGCGAACACAACTGCGACATACATGTGCAAGTTTATTAAGAAAAGTATTTTCTCCACTTGTACTTGTTGCTCTGTTGCATATAAGCTGATCCTGAGGGGCAGTAGTAGTAGGAGGGGGTTTGTACCCAAACGATGAACGTTATGATTGTTAATTGTATGCTGCTACTCTTGGAGGTGATTGTGTGTGTGTGTCTGTGTGTGTGTGTGTGCGTGCGTGCGTGCGTGTTTAGAATATAACATAGTTTTGTGCTTGGGTTGGTTATAAGCATTAGTTTGTCTTCTTTGACTGACAGCTTGCAGCATAAAGTGCTGAAGGGAACATTTCAGCAGAGGGTTATGGTTTTTCGATGTTTGTGTTTTTCCACCAGCAAATTGTGTATTGTTTCATTTGCAGTCAGAAACAGTCTCTTCACTTTGTGCCAGCTCAGAAGTGTGTGTGTGTGTGTGTGTGTGTGTGTGTGTGTGTGTGTGTGCGTGTGTGTGCGTGTGTGTTTTTCAGCAATTGCAAATCTAACTATCAGGCTGCATTCCTATGGGAGATTATTATGTTGGCATGCCTGCTGGGTTTGGTTGAGTGAGAAACAAAGATCAAACCTTCCATTGCTGAAATTAACAAGATAAGTAGTCTAAAACCCTGGTACATTAGCAGTCCATGATTATTAAAACTATTCTCAGATGCTCACCAGTGGGCTAAAAAGGTAGAGAACACATTAGGGCTGAAACGATTCATCGATTAATGCTTCGTTTAATCCATGTAAATTTACAGCACAGTGTTTCGCAGGGACATTTTTTACTGTCGCACATTGCACTTACACTGTGAACAGCGCCATAATACGTCATTTATGGCACTGTTTGTAAAGTGGAGGAAGAGAGAGAAAATAGCGAGGGAAAAAGAAGAAAGTGTCCAAAGTATGGGATTATTTCAAGCTAAATTCAAAAACAACTCTGTAATGTTACCGTCCGTCCAAATTACCCTCCTTTTAAAATTCTGTGAAAAATTTAATTTTACAGCAACACTTTTAATGACAAAAAGGCTGGAGCATGTAGGCCTGTACTCCTTGTATTGAAAATAATCTCTGGCTCCACACTCCAGTCCAGTTGGTGGCACCTCTCGGCTAGTTTGCCAACCGCCAATAAAAAAAAGAGAAAAGAAGAACAAGTTTGGGGGGAAAAAAACAAGCCTGATGGCGACGGGCTTATCAACGACGTTGTTCACTGGCGACGGAGTAGCCTATCCACACACGTAGCTGTCACACGACGGTCTCCTTTGGTAGGTTATCCGTGGCACTATGGCGGGTGGATAGTGCCAGAAATTTAAAAGGAGGGTAATCTAATGGATATAATATTTATCAAAGATATTAATCAACTTAATTTTGTAAGTTATGTCAGCTGAGAAGTTTACAGCAGAAACTTGAAAAACTCAATTGTGGGGTTTACTTAATTAAATATTACATTGAGTGTGTTTTTACATTTATTCATTAATAGACTATAGCTCTAACTTCAAAAATATAACTGGTAATATTTGTAATTTAATTGAGTAGCCTATAGGCCATGAAATTATGCTATATTGTTGTATTATTTGTATTGTGTATGTATTTTTTAACTGGCATGATGTTTACTTTTGGGTCTATTCTGTAGATTAAAATTGTGCTTTTATCATTTACTTTGTGTACCCAACTGTCATTTATAATATAAAAAATAGACCAACACCAAGCTACATGTTTTATTTACATCAATGTTTTCCTCATATTTGATGCTGCCATAAATGTTTTGTTTTTCAACAGTTAACCATTTTAAAAACACAGCTTGAGAGGCAGTTTAATTGAGTCACGGTGGCGCTGCAAATTCAAACATGAGAACCAATCAAAAGCATTGGTTGGGGAAAAGCAGAACAGCAACAAACTTTACTAAACAACTGTGGCTGGAAATGGCAAAGGAAGACAATGTGCACATGAAATACACGCAAAGCCACAAAATGAATATTATTCAACATATAGCCAAGCTTTTTAAAGAAAATATTCAGATGGCATCTTAAGCATTTTCATAAGAAATTGTGATTAAATTACATATTTTACCAGTCGGCCTAACTGTAACAGATAACACTTACATTTACGTTTGTCTACAGTTGAACATTAAATGGTGTTCTTGGTATAGAATCATGGGAGCTTTATATTTATATGAGCATTGACAATAAGCTATGCAGAGTGGGAAATTACGTTTGAATCATTCTATAATAGTATGCTGGTTTCTCTTAGCGTAGCATCCCGATGGAAAATGAAGAACTTCACTGAGGGTCTTAAGATTTTTAATTTGGTGTTTTGTACTTCAACAACAATGTAATTGCTAAAAAAAAAAAAAGTGCAGACATAAGGCAACATAGTATCTTAACTCCTTTAGGATTACATTGATTAGTAACACATTAGCATGATCAAAATAATCCAAATCATTATGCAGAAATATACATTTAAAATACATTGCCAATAAAATAACCACAGGCAAATGCCTATAACAAATAATAATAGAAACTGAATAAGCATGAAACAGCTCTAATACTTCAATGATTACTTTTATAAGTAACTGCAGGCCTAATACAACCATTTTCACATTGTGGGGAAGTGAAAGCATTATCTTCTTCAGTGGAATTTTATAGGACAGTGAATCCAAACAATAAAGTACAACACAGGCTATGAACTGTAGGCTACTCCAGAGTTCCCAGTCACCACAAGAATAAAAGCATTTCACACAGGCTGTACAAAGCATGACTTGAATTTACTCAATAAAGTTAAAATAGGAGTTACTCTGACAATGGTGTACTGGTGGCGACGTACCTAGTGACGACGTGAGTGTCACACGGTTGTAAGGCGACGTGCCTAGTTCAGATGTATTTAGTAGGCGTATATTTATACAGGAATTCGAACATACACCGCCGCCAAGTCGCCGCCGGTCTCCCATCTGCAGTCCCAATCACTCCCATTCAAAAATCCACACGGTCTGGCGGCGCCGGCAGGGTAGACTGCTCCTTCTCCTTCTCCTGGTAATCCTCGCTCTGACACTATCCACCAGCCATAGTCGGGAGCTGCAACTTTTACCGCCCCTCCAGCTCTCTCTGGAGCTCAGACAATCCCTGCTACCTGCGTGTGCTAATCCATCCTTCACCCAGATTCTTTGTCTTTATAACTGTTATTATAAAG